ATTGGTGGGTCGAGTTGCTGGGATTCCCGAATGGACGGGCTAAACGCGCAAAAGGTGCTAGGGTTCAATTATGAACCCTACGCGTGACTTCTAAGATGAAAGGTCATTATGAGTTTTGATGCCGAGGAGAGTGACATACCAATTCCTATTTGAACCTTTCGCGTGGGTACCTTTTGCCTCGACCACGAGAGATATAGCGAAAGGAATAATAGAAGCATCATCTTCGATATTTTATTCGGGTGATTTCTTGGTTTTCTTCCCCCTTCGAATGGTAGCTACAACAAGTAGTCGGTCGAGTTCCCATAAGCAGCCATAATGAGATGAAAAGGTTGCTCATAAGAGCGAATTGCGTGATATAACAGTAAATTGGGTGAGATTTGGGTCGTGATTGCCTGTTTTACTCGGGGCGACATGACCAGGCGGGCCCAAGGGGAAAAGGTCACTAATGTTTGATGCAATGACTTTTCTCAAAGAAGCCAAGGTGATATAAGTCATACAATGGCCACAATAACCGAGGGTAAGAGGTTACCTTTGCCCTGACTGAGGTGAGAGAGGGGACCAAGTTTAAAAAGTCACAAATCATTATCTTGTGAAAACAATTTGTTCAAAACTATACATTCTTTTCTACTCAATTCTTTGTTACATTCGAGGGGACTGTAATCCTTGACGCTGTTGACAAACTGGACCATGGTCTGCTCAATATCATAGTACGTCATCCCCAAGATCCTCTTGCTCAAAGCGTTATCTCCACGGTAGTATCCTCCAGTAGGATATCCATCAGCCTCGACACCTTCTGGGAGCTTGGTAGGAGTGTTGCGAGCCAAATCGGGAAAGTTGTTGATAAAGGCGTCCGCAATCTGCTTGTTGTTGTAGGGCTTGTCACTGCAAGTAAGGATGCGCTTGTTGCCAGCTTCGGGGGCCTCCTAAGGGGACATGAGTAATGGTAGGGGATAGAGTCATCGGGGTTTACGTACCAGAGCGAGGATATGAGCCCTTCCGAGGTCGATCACGTTGACGAAAAGCATGACGCTTTGAGCCTCAATCTCCTTACTTTGGCCGGTGAAAATGGCATATAATCCAGCAGACGAAGTCTTCATCTTGTCCACCGACTCTTTATACGGCGCAACTTCGCCAAAG